GAGGGTGGGAGACTGGACAAGAACACTGCACCTGTGCAGAAGGAGAAAATTGAGCCGTCTGGTGTTGCAATGGAATAGGATCTAGCTGTGTGAAGTCATGGTTTTGTGTATATGCATAGATAGAAATCAGTTGAAATACAAATAGCTAGAGTTCTTGGTTCTGCCTGCTGCAGGGCTCAGAAGGAAGTGCCTCAGTAGGATTGAGCACTGCCAGCATCCAGAGTTTGGTTCCTAAACACCATTTCCACCAGAAGAAACCAGAGCTCTTTGGAAAGATGGCCAGGGTTGAGAAAGGAAGAAATGGGTAATCCTGGAATATCATGTTGTGTTAGAAAACAAGGAGATACTAAAGAGATAAAGAAAGCACGGAGCTCAGAGGAACCTCCACCGGCTTGATCTAGGACAATTTGGACATCAAAGTAAACGACAACAGAACAATTATCGTGGACTAACCATAGAATAAAATATGAATCTACGAGGTCATGCTGATATAAAAAATATATACACTAAAAGGATAGCTGTTCCTTATAACAGAGCATCAGTTGATAAATACAGATGCTGTGATGGGGTTAGAATATCATCATTGTGAAGCATTGTAACAATAACGGACTTAGACAAGAATGATCCAGATGAAATAAAGAGGGCGCCAAAGTTTGAGGATGAACAGGTTATTTACAGAGACTCAAAGGACCTCGCTATAAATAACTGATTAACTATGAAGAGAAAATCATTAACTCCACGATTGATTAACCTGGTGAGCAGGACCACAACTGCTTAATAAATATTAGCTCTAGCAATAGAAACGCCTGCACTCGTGCGCCCTTTGATATGATTCTCTTAAAAGGACTCATGGTTTCTGGGATGCACCTGTTCAAATTGCATAACCTGAATCTAGTTATGAGGAAACATCAAATTGAGTAATAACTGGACTATGATCTCCACAGTCAAACCACTTCAAAATAAAGTTTATTAAAGATGGGCTGCAGATCGAAGAAGACTAAAGAGAAATGGACGGTGAAGGCAATGTGTGGTCCTGCTTTGGATGCTGAATGAGAACAAATAGCTCTGAACGGCATTGTGGAAGCGATTGGTAAAATTCAGACAACAACTGGCAATCAGATAAGAGCTGTGCAGCAATGCTACTTTTCCTGATTTTGTTGAACGTGCTGTGGTTGAGTAGAAAATAGTTCTTATTTTTTTCTAGATATGAGAGATATAAATAGTTTAAAAAATTATGTGTGTATATAAGGAGAATAAAGTGACAGATGAACTAAATAAAATGTTAGCAATGAGCAAATCTGGGTGAAAATTCATGGCAATTACTGTAAAAATTGAAAATCAAAAGGAAAAAAGAACATTTTCCCTACACACAAAATCTTATACCTTACTAGAGGAAATATGAAGGAATTTCAGAAACTTTGTAAAAAAAAAGAGTCAGATTGAATTTTACTGCAAGTCACTGAAATGCATGCATAGCTTTTGTTTCAAGAAGACTTATTTAGTTGAAAGGCAGAGTTAGAGATTTTCCATCAGCTGTTTTACTCCACAAATGGCTGCAGCAGGTAGGACTGGGGGCCAGGCTGAAGTCAGGGGCTTCATCCAGGTTTCCCACATAGGTGAGGGGTCCAACTACTTGGTTGGGCTATCTGCTCCTGCTTTCCCAGCAGGGAGTTGGATCAGAAATACAACAGCCAAGGCTTGAGCTGGTGCCCGTATGAGATGGTGGCATCACAAGCAATAGCTTTCCCACATACACCGCAATGCCAGCCCCATGCATGCCCCACTTGTACTGCCTCTGGGACAATGGAGGCAGGGAAGCCTTGATGTGAACCTAGAGTAGAGGCTGGACACCAAGACCTTCTAGCAGGTTTGGCAACAGGGACATGACTGGTTCCGAGGAGCAAGAGGCCAGGGGGCCATCCAGGATGCTGTATGCAATGCAAGATGACTTCTAAGGAGCCTCTTTTCCTGGCCTCACTGTGGCCTGACTGGCACCTTGGTCTCCAGGCAGGATCTTGTCAGTGCCTGCCAGGAGGTGGCGCCAAACTGCAGCCCGTACCTATGTGCTGGCTCCCTTGGGTCCTCCTCCCACAGCAATGTTCATCATAATAAATTATGACACAGGTGTGACAAGGGCCTGGCAGGTTATGTTAGTGTAATACAGTCTTATGACAGAATGTCGTGTGGCCATCTGTAGGGGAGTGATGGATGAAAATGTCAGGCTGTGGAGAGCTGGACTCTATATCCTAGTATGTGAAAGCAGCTGAGTACCACAGGATCTTGTATTGAAAAATTAGCAGCCATATAACAAAAAACAGCATAGGAAGAATCATAGATGATACACATACCAACATATCATTATCTCTGAGAGGTATTTTCTGTACATTTTCTAAATTTTATAAAATTAGTCTGATTCAAATTTTATGAAAATATTTGTATTCTAATATTCATCAAAGCCACCGACTTCTCTGTTCACCCTGCCCTACCTTGATTTTTTTCTGCATCTAAAGCTCACTGTTGGTTGTACAGAATATAGGACATGGCCATGTCCTGCCTGTGAACTATAAGATCATTTCACTGTTGTTGATCTTGTCTCACCAGTCAAGAAAAGTCTGCTTTGGCCACATTGTGCTTAGGAATTAACCACCGGACAGATGGTGGCATGGTCCTCAAAGGTGTCACATAATGTACCTGGCTTTCCAAGGAGGCTCTAGACCGAGGGATGCCCCCAAATCCGCACAGCTGTCTTGGGTACAGTGAGTGCAGCCATGGAGGTGATCAAAGGGTTGGGTCACACTGTCCTGGCTCAGTCTCCTCTGGGCCACAAGACCTGTGGAACTCAGTGCCCTGTCCAATCCCAAACTGAAGTCCTTTGGTAGGTGGAGGTTGGGTGGTCCCTTTTATGTCCTTGTCTCATAGTGCTGGAAGGGAGTCCTGTGCGGCAAGCAGTCCCTGAGACATCACTTGGTACCCTATCCTGGGAGCTGCTGCACCACACAGGAGGGGTGCAGAGCTGAGGGCACAGGCTGTGTCTGGAGAGCCATCCCTTTGTCCTGCTGCTCAGGCAGCACTTGCGGGCGGCCCTGGCCCCACCTCCTGCCTCACAACCACCCTGTGTCATCATCATGCTTTTTACTCCACAAATGAGCCAAACTCTGTGAACTACTGCTTGGCAACAGTAATATCTCGCCATCGCTAAATCCGAGAGGCAGGCTCGGTTGGAACAGGAAACCCTGCTAGCTTTTTCCAAAGTCCATTCAGACACAATTCTCTGTAGACACTTGAAGAGCTGTCAGGTGCAAGGGGAACAAGATGTATTCTGTAATCGAGTACTATTGCTTTGACAGCCCTAACATGGCTCCCGGCTCCCTGCCACGGGCCTGCTCGGACCACCGTGCAGTTGTTTGGATTACAGCCGCAGCCTCCTGCTCGGGCTGCCTAGCCTGTCTGATCTTGCTCCTCTAATCCCTTCTCCAGAGAGCATGAGTGAGCTGTTGAAATTGTAAATGGAATCACACCACACCTCTGCTTAAATCCCTGGTAATGTTTCCCCATCGCCTTCGGGATAAACTGCCTAGCGTGGCTTTGAAGGCCCAGTCTGCTCGGGGGTCGGGCTGCAGGCCTTGCCCTGATTGTCTCCAGCCTTCCTGTGCACTTGCAGCCTGAACCCAGATCCTTTTCTTGTCTTGGAATCTTCACCTGGAACATTCCTGTGCTGCCTTCACTTATTTGCCTTCCAGGTGTCGCCCCATGGCTTGGCTGAGTATTCCTTTGCTCTCTGACAATATTCTAGATTTACATGTCATTTCCTTTGTCATCTCGCCTTGTAATTGCCTATTGCCATGAATCTTCCTCCTCCAGACTGTGAGTTCCTTGTGGGTTGACACTGTTTTATTTGTGAAGGGATCTCCAGCACCAGAGCCCGACAGATGCTCAATCATTACAGAATATATGAATGAATAACAGGTGACCTAAGAATGACGCGTGGAAGCGTCAGGGAAATTTCTTCTCTGTATACGGGGGCTGGCAGTAACTGGAGACACCCTAGAAAGGAACAGAGGGGCAGGCATTTGGTACAGAGGTTAATTTGCCATTTAGAATGCCCATATCTCTTACTGGAGCACCTGGTTCAAGTCCTTGGTCCTCTGATTCCAACGCAGCTTTTGGGAAGAAGCAGGTGATGGTTCAACTACCTGGGTCTCTGCACCCATCGGGAAGATCCAGATGGAGTTCCTGGCTCCTGGCTTCAGGCCCAGCCCTGGAGATGGGCATTCAGACAGTGAACCAGCAGATGGAAGATCTCTCTCTCTCTGCCTTTCAATCGAAAAATGTTTAAATTAAAATAAAAAGCATCAAAAGGAACAGACACCCAAAGCATGGCTAAAGCCTCATCTCTAAGTCTCTAAGCCAGAAAAATCACCAGGCAGGGAGCGTCTTCAGATGCAGAGGGGGAATCCACCCTCAGCTCACTCACCCTCAGCTCCCTTTCTGTGCGCTGGAAGCCACAGATTCACTTCCTGGGCTGAAACTCTCTGCCTGATGAAGGGGCTTCCCTGCCTGTGAAATGGAAGTGACAGCTGCACTGCCCACCTCAGGGATGGCATGAGAACCAAATGAGAGCACATGTGCTCTAACACTGTGTAAAAGCCTAAAGTCTACTGCCGTGTGTTATTAACCAGTCTTCAGGGTTTGCAACTTCACTGAATAAACTTATTCTGCAACTATGAGCCTGGATAACTTCTCCCTTTTCTGGGCCACACGATGCCCCAAGGGGAGATGCAGGAGTGGTCAGGCCTCCCCTTATAGCTGGGGGTCTGCCCAAGGCCCACTGTCCCAGCCACTAGGGCCTACTAGAAGGAGTGGGTCTAAAATCCTGGAAGGTCATGACTCTCGCCACAAACAAAAACTACAGACACCCAGCAAGCCTTCCCTTTTGGGCCCTTTCCATTTAGGTGAGAGCATTTCGCTTCTCTTTTGGCAAGACAAACCTATTGAAGCCATTTAACTTAGAGGTGTTTTATTAGGAACCAGGGGGAAGTGCTGCTTAACCCTCCATAACAGCCCGGAGCAGGCCCTCTGGCCCACGATGGAGAGCCGTCTGAAGTGCGGGGCTCCGCTGCATCCGCTGCATCCGCTTCAGGCCTGCAAGCAGATGGTGGCGGCAGGGCCTGGCAGGAAGTGACGTCAGCCAAACCAGCAGCAGCCGGGCTGGGGGAGCCCTGGACCTTTCCTTCCAACTCCAGGCGAGGCCGCAACACGCCAGGAGACCTGAGGATGTAGCTGGCGTGGGCGGGAGGCAGCGGTGTGGTCTGAACCCTGGCCTCGTTCGGGACTCCTTCACTTGCCTGCTCGCCACTCTTCTTGCCGTTTGGTGATTAGGTATTTGAAGAACTCGTACACAGACCACGCGATGGCTGTGGAGGGGATCTGGTATATGACTCTAGCTTGCACCCCTCGGAAGTAGGCAGTCACGCCGCCCACTTGATAAACCGTCCTGAAGGCATTAGCCAAGCCTGTGATGTGTCCTGCAATGTTCGAGTTCCAGGCCACGGACTCCTGGGTGTTGAGCAGTGTTTTGCAAACGTCCAGTGGGGTAGTGGCGGCGGCAGCGATGGCTCCTGCGCAGGCTCCGGAGAGGACGTGGGAGGTGGGGTTGTACCGTCTCTGGGGGTTAAAGTGCTCCTGCAGGAATTCGTAGGTCATGAAGTGAATGGCTTGGAAGGGAACGTTCATGGTCAGCTGGGTGGTGTAGCTGCGGTAAAAGGCCCCGGCCCCTTCGTTCCGCCACACTGCCCGTACACAGTCTGTCACCCGGTGGTATGGCGAGTTGTACATTTGCATCCTCTGCTTGACCACTGGGAGTGTCATCAGCCAGGAAGGAAAGGGTGACAGCCACCAGCCGGTGAGAGTGTCCAGGTTCAAGGTCCCACGGCAGCAGACCAGCCAAGGCAGTGGAGAGAGAACAAAGGAAGAATGAGCTGCTGGCTAACCTGGCAAATTCGCCTTTCTCAGAGTGTTGGCAAACAGTCGAACTATAATGAACCTGCACCCCGTAAGACTTTCTGTAAAATGGGCCGACAATCGGCACGCAGGCAGTGTCTAGGGTTTTAGCAGCTCCAGAGGCTCCCTTGGAAACCAGGCCTTGTCTAATGCCATCTGACCCTTTCCCTGCTCCCAGCAAGGACTGACCTGGCCCCAGTGGAAGCAGTCATGAACACAAGAGCCCCATCGGCCCCGCTCTTGGATGCCAAGGGCACCCACTGTCAAGGCATGAGGCTGCCATCCTCCTGGGGTGAGGGGAGGGGAGACAAATGCTACCAGAAGGAAAACAAGGATCTGAGCCAGGGGCTCGCTTCAGCTTCCAGACCTCTCCTACCAGGTGTCCGTCGGCTTAGCTCTGGCCTTGCCCGGACAGGCACAGAACTGGTCACGGTTACTGGGTCACCCGAACCCTTACAATTGTCTGGCTGCTTCAGTCTCATACTGAGAATGTTTTGAAAGAACTTTGCTCTAGTTGAGAAGCCAAGAGCCAGGCAGCAGTGTAGGGACTGAGTTCTAGAATTCAACCTTTCATTCCTTTCTCAGCTATCCTCATTCCATTAAGAAAGGCAATATTTTGGGCCTGGTGTGGTAGCCCAGTGGCTGAGACTTCGCCTTACACGCCCGGGATCCCATATGGGTGCCAGTTCTAGTCCTGGCGACCCTACTTCCCATCCAATTCCCTGCTTGTGGTGTGGGAAAGCAGTCGAGGACGGTCCAAAGCCTTGGGACCAGTACCCATGTGGGAGACCCAAAAGAAACTCCTGGCTTCGGATTGGCTCAGCTCCAGCCGTTGCGAACACTTGGGGGGTGAGTCAGCAGATGGAATACCTTCCTTTCTGTCTCTCTTCCCCTCTGTGTATCAGCCTTTCCAATAAAAATAAAATAAATCTTAAAAAAAAAAGGCGATATTTTTACATCTCAAAAATCCATCTTCACTTCTTTGAGGCAAAAAACTAGAAATACTCTAAATGTACTACAAAGGACATTCTGGAAAGGTCTCAAACCAGGTCAAGTGGAATCCTATCTTTTGCCACAAATCTCAAAGAATGTATTTCCTCTCTTGGGGGTGCCAGTAGCAGTTCCTAAATTCTAAAAACACGGAGGGGGCGCCCTCTAGTGACAAGACGAAGCAACACGGCAGGATTTCCCACCGAAACAGCAGAGTTCCTGGGTTTTCTCCAATCCTGAAGGAAAAGCCCAGGGGTGAGGCTGCAGCAGCCAGTGAGATCAGGTTGAGATTACCTTCTGCTGGATTCATGGCTGCATCGTGCAGTAATGTGGCCACACACCCCGCGGCACCTGCAAACGAGAGAAGCACCGTCACACGTGAAGCCGGGAGAAGGCGGACAACCAATGCACTGAGGCTCCTCCACCCCGACCCGGCTGTGCTAAACCAGTGGGGAGAGGCAGCGCTAACAGTCCACAAGACAGGAACTGCTCCCAAATTTCTCTCCCAAGCAAGGAAAGCGTTTGTTCCCACCAACTTAATCAGGTCACCAATGTGCAGCCCGCGTCTGTGACGGGAAAGCCAAAAAGGATCAGAGAACAGCCTGGATTGTATGAAGGAAGGTGATTCTGAAAAGAAATGTCGCTGGTTTCTTGGAAGATACGCTGTGGCCAAGGGAGGCTGGCACAGCAGCTGCCACCAGCGGAGGGAGAACTCGGGGCAGGGCAGGCAAGTGGTCAGAGCATCACTACAGAATCTGACCTTGCGGCCTGCTGCTAACACCTGTCCATCCAGATCTTTCCTCCAAGGCATACTGGCCCTCGGCCTGTCCGTACTCAATGTGGTTTTCAATCCTGAACCCCTAGGCTGCTTTCCCTTCCCTTCCTTCCACACAGCCTCCAACTGGCTGGTTCCTGCTTGTTCCCACCCACCTCTAGTCGCCTGGGGGAGGCTTTGGCATTCCCTCAATGAGACCAACGCCAGTGGTCAGCTGGGATCCTGAAAAGGTGCAGCGAAGAGAGCCGAGGCTCCACTGGCACTTTCCTTGGGTGACTCGGTCCCCTCCGATCCTGATCCTGAGGAACAGGACACCACCCAACTACCCAGGAATACCCACTAGGGTAGTTCAGGGTGTGTGTTTATCTCCGTGTTTCTGGGGCGTTAGAAGTTGAGGCCAGGGAGGTGAGAAGAAGGTCAAGCTGGTAGGCAAGAGAGGCTGTTGTGCCCCTTTGTTGAGGCTTCCTGGAGGAGGGGTGGGACAGAAGCTGCCCAGTGTCTGAGAGCATCAGGATCGGAAGGCCCTCCCTGTGACACGGCCTACCCCAGCCCAAGGCTTCCGCTCCCAGTCAAACTGAGGCCCGACAGCAGCAAAAGCCCAAAGAGTTGGGAGGCCAGGGAAACCAGTGCAGGAAGGCTCAATACCATTAGCAATATGGCTATTGCCCCCGGGGTGGATTACATCACTCAAGGTCTTTTTTAACTTTTCGTAGCAGGCGAAATAGAGGGCGTGGGCAGGCCCTGCGCCTGTGGCTGTGACGTTCAGCCCCCGCATGGGCCTCCACAGGCCCTCTGTCCTTATAATCCTCCAGAGGGCCTCCAACACGTTGCGATAGCGGGCGGCTGGGTCGGGCTGCAGACTCTGCATCCGGGTCTGAAATCACAGCAAGAAGGGCAATGTCAGTGAGGTCAAGTTCTCAACCAACCTCAATACTCTGGCTTTGGACACCGGGCAGCAACTCCACGTGGGACTGTGTCAATCTATGGCAGTGGTGCCTGGCATCCAGCTTTGTGTCTTTCCAATCCTAAACCAGATCCTTGCAAGTCTGGGACCTGTCTTTTCCCTAGTCATTTCAGGAGTGAAATGTCATTTTCCCTGAGTACCACCACTTGCTAAGTGGCCTGGAATGTCACCATGATTCACAGTTCCAGGAACCAGTCTCCTGCGCATGTTTCAGATGTGGTTTTTGTGCCATCCTAAACCCAGGCTGACAGCTGTTTATTAAGGGACCTGAAATTCAAGTATGTACTATCTACAACATACTTGATGCTTTATTTCTAAACCCTGACCTTGGCTCTGCTTTCCCTACCACACACTACATTAATAAGATGGTGGCTCATCTTTCGATACCTTTCCAGACTATCTGGCCGTCACGGCTGGGGCTGCTGGAGTCCTTGGCAGAAGCAGCCTTCCTAATGTGTGCTGCTCTCATTTTCCTGCGGAAGAAGGTGCTGAGGATCTAGCTGGAAACAAAATTCGTCTCTAGCGTTGAAGGGCCTTCTGGATTTCTGGTTTCAAGCACCAAACTCCCCAAGTGGCATCAGCCAAGAAAATTGGTTAAAGTGAAACAGAATCCTCAGAATCGGGAGGATTCCATTATGGAGAGACAATTTGGATGAAGTGTCCGGATAACGTTTTATTAGAAGTAGGGGAATTCATCTTATTTGGAACACTTCCCCGAATCACAGTCCTTCCCTGAACGGTGTGTCTCTATGATAATCTCTACTAGTGACCCATTACAAGATTCAAGTAGCATGAACTATAATGGTTACTATGCAATCAGTGTCCAGGGCCCGGCACTCAGTAGGCACTTAGGGATTCTTTGCTGCGTGAACGAATGAGTGTTTTGTCATGTAGCTAAACACAAGAATGGTCATCGGTGAGCCAACAGGGCAAGTGATGTCCACTGATTCAGGGCTAAACGCGCAGACCTTCCTGCTAGCCAACTGGTATCTTAACAGTGACACTTCTCAAGATCATGAGAGTAAACTAGCCAGATGAACAGGTTCCGGTGAGCTATGAGCAAGGCCAAGTTCCTCTAGAATTATTTTCTCTTGCCTGCTAACAAACAATCGGAAGTTTAAAAGGTTAAGTATTGGAAATTCAATCGGAAGCACACTGTGTCATTCATTACAATTTAACAGATTCTTTTTAAGTTTGAAGAGGGAAAAAAAAGGTTCATGAATGTTCAATAAAGGATGTGCTTACTGATCTTTCACATCGCCCAAGGATATAAAATACATCTAAGCAGATTTTTATAGAGACTGTGGGTCTATGTTGGTGATAGCTACTAAACCAAGATAAATGGCTCTTGGGGGCTGAATAAATGTTTCCCTGCTTGTGGGAAGCCGATCAAGAAAAATGGCATTGCTCTGCCGCAGTCAGCGGCATGCCTGGCAGTCCTAGAGCTCTGTCTGCAGAGGCCTTCGCTCCCCGGGAGCAAGCTGAACATTCCCCACACATGTGTGAATCAAACTCAATCCTAACTCAAAGACAACCTCCCTGCGGAAAGAACCTGGGGAAACCTATGCCAAATATGAAAATGGCCGTATCACCCTAGATCTGCGGAGCACTAAATCTGCCTTTCCAAGGAAGATGAATTCTCTAAGGAAGAATGTATAAGAAGCTGACAGTATGAAAAACCACTGCCTGGCTTTGGAGAAGAACCACATGAACTAACAAGGAGGAGTGTGGTTTGGTACTGAGGCTGGCTTGAGTCGGCTCTTTGCCAGGTGCGTGGTCCTCAGCGTGCCACTTTACCTCTCTGAGCTTCCAAGAATGGCTGGCTCAGAGGGCTGCTGGGGGCCTGGGAGTGGTAGGGCATGTGAAGCTGCTGCTGATTCATAAGACACCATGCGATTCTGATCTATTCATATCTAATGATTTCCAGTTCATGGCAACGCTGTCTCTTGTCTCAGTCACGTCACAAATATGCACGGGCAACAAAGTGGTCCTTAGCCCCTAATAAGTTCGAATATAAATATATATATATATACATATTTTGTTTGTTTTCGTTTGAAGTTTCTCTGTGGCTATGATTTACATGTTCAGTATTAACGTGAAGGTCATATATTTTCAGGGATGAGTCTAAAATTGTGAAACTTTGTGCTTTGCTTGTTTTTGTTTTGTTTTGTTTTTTTTCAATTTATTTGAAAGACAAAGTAACAGGGACAGAGATCTTCCAGCCACTGCTCCACCTCTGCCTCCCTCATCTCCCCAAATGTCCACAATAGCAAGGGCTAGGCCAGGCCCAAGCCAAAAAATCCAAAACTCAATCCAGGTCTCCCACATAAGTGGTAAGGTCTCAAGTACTTGAGCTGTCACCTGCTGCTCCCAGGTGGCACCTCAGCAGGAAGCTGGGATTGGAAGAGGAGCTGGAATTTAAACCCAGACACTCCTATGTGGGATGCAAGTGTCCCAAGCAGTACTTTAACTGCGGCACCAAACACCCACCCCTCTTGCTTTGTTCTTAAAATTTAGTCTAGTGGTTTTGCAGAAGGCTTAGGAGTAAGAAAGACTGGCTCAATGACCTTGGACAAGCTATCTAACCGTCTCATGCACTTCTTTTTTTCATCTATAAACTAAGGAAAGTGGTGTCTATTACATGAACTTGTTTGAAGGATTAACTGAATAAATATCTGTGAGACACATCGGACAGTGCTCGGCCCATATGAACAGACAGCATCTACTGAGTACTAACTAGCATTGTGAGCTGCAAGAAAATCAAGGCAGTGTTTCCATTTCCTAACTGAAGGGTGTACGCTCAGAAAGATAGCCACGTACATCTGAAGCTGTGAGAAGACCTCTGCTCTTCTCTGGCTTAGTTTGTGAATAGATATTCACTTCACCACCACAGAATGCCAAATAGCCCCTTAGTGACAAGTGGCTACTTGGCCAGATTTTCAGAAAGATTCTGACTGCCTGGGGTTATACAGCCTGCCTATTATGGATTGAACCGAATGCTTGTCTCAGAGGCCCAGAAAAGCAAACTGGAGTTTATCTGGGTTTCTAATCCTCCCTATGACCATGGAAATCTCTGGTTGAATAACCATGACTATGCTGACTTCTCATAGTCCCTCCCAAGGATAATTTAAGTCAACTTGACCCTGATAAGTGGCTGGGAATACACAGGCTTGCATGCCAGCAGGCAATGTCAGCTTTCATTTGCAAACATTGTGGTCATTCTCTAGGCTCCAACATGGATACCTGCCTCCTCGCTCAGGGTGAGCTGGGGCAGAGTTCCTATGGTTAAAAAAAGAGACTAACTACCAGGGGAGGCATGAACTTGGAAGCTCCTCCTGAAGGAACAGATTTGAGTTTTATTTTCTTGTCTGCACAAAAGCCAAATTAGCACTGGCTTCTCCTAGCCCTTCCTTCTCATCATTTTAATTTTAGCATTCACAGCAAGTAAAAATGATTCTTCTGACATCAGTGTGTGTAGTCCAGAGATTCTTTCCTCCAGATCAAACCATCTTTAATGTCAGGTTTTGAGGCCTGGTTATAGGGTCACATGACTCATTTCTAAAAATAAATAAATAAATAAATAGAAACTAATTTCCAAAGCTCATGTAAATGAGCAACTATTCGTAAGCAGTTACCTTGGGAGGCTGGAGGTGCCAGATCCCAGCAGTGCTCCCAGCAATGCTGTGGTTATGCAAAACAGTTCAGCTGTCCGGGTTTATAGGCCACGGGAGCAAAGCAGTGCCCTTGCTTTCCAGGTCCATCCCATCGCTGACACCAAACAAGACCAGTCATGGTCATCTCTCATCTTACTTCACAGATCTGATTCTTAGTCATTTCGGACACTACCAAATCAGCTCCACCTTATCACAGGACAAAGGTTTGCCCCCATGAAGAACATGTACCCAAATGTTCAAAAGGTATCTCTAAAATGGAGGAATTAATGTCATGCTGAAAATATAAGGAGCAAAGAAGACAGCCGCTTGTACTATAATGTTGCAACAATTACATTGACAAGTTTAGTCATCTAAGGCAGTCCGCATTATTACACTGTATTTCTTTTACATTGTATTTATCAAGCCACGGAAAATTTTCCCTGATTGTTTTGTTTGATTATCCTGAAACATGGCACCCTATATCCAGTACTCGACTCATAGGGCAATTCAAGTGCGGTTACTCTGTAACTAGATCATAGTAATTCTTGCATATGTAGCTTTAGCAACTCATAGTCCATTCAACTCAGAAGGCATTACATAATTGAGATAACATTCTGAATTGTTTTCATTTCAAAGTAATCATCTTACATTTCAATAATTGCTTCTCTCCCATGGGATTTGCTGTTGATTTCTATTTTTCCACTTTGATAGGGGCATTTAAAATTCTAATATCCATTCAGTTAATTTTCACGGGCTTTGGCCCTTGGGGACAGTTAGCCAGAAGACTCCTGCCAACTCAGTGACACTTACAAAGTTCTGTGAAGGACTTTCCTGATTTCCTCATCCACGTGCCTCGTGGAGGGGGAGGGAGAGGCATGAAAGAGATCTTTGCATTTTCAAAATTGCTACTATCCTCCTTTTGAATTTATGACATCTGCCAGGATATTGACTATTCAAGACCCAAAGGAGGCATAGATCTGTCACTGTTATAGTCCTTTGGCGAGCTTACCTCTTCCTCAAAAAAGCCCTCACTTTCACTGTTGCAGAAAAATAAGAACTGTCAAACACACTGGTCGGTCCCCTCCTTCCCCTGGCTCTGCAGAAAGATCAGACTTTCTGAATCCATTCATCCTCCTGCAGGGTGGTAGATACAATTAGACGATTTGCATAGCAATTGCGTCCTCACGTTGCTCTCATTCCACTTTCTTTACTCTTCCTTTTCCAACACGGTTACACTGCCCTTCTTCCTTTTGCTTCAGGTGGACTACGGCACAAACTGCCTGTTTTCATCTCTCTGGCTTGGCAGCTGCAAGCACGCGCACGCGGACACACACACACTCCTGATCCTGGCTACTTTCCTATTCCGGAAGTAAGTGGGAGACCACGCTTTTACACTGCGAGGAGAAACTGAAAGTTTCCCTGACCAGCGTCTTGCCCGTCTTACTTCCAGTCTGGACCTCCACTCCGACTGCAACATGACTCCCAGCCACTCACAACATCCAGGTCCTTATTCAAGAGAGATCCAGACACCCGGTCTACGCTAGCAGGCTGAGGGGTCCGGTCTGGGCTCTGCTGGACACCCACTGGCGTCACCTCCATGCAGTTCGTAGCACTTACCTGTGCTTCGGGATCCCCCAGCCCACCCTATCCTGTTTAGTCCCAGGTGGGATCCAAGGCTTTGGCTGACAGATTTTTCGGTCCTGTGTGCCGATTCAGATCTCACTGGCGCTAGAAACAGGACCTTGCTTGGTACGCAGTATCGGTTCCGATCGGGTGGTAGTGGCGGGAGCCCGGGAGGCTCTCTCGGCCGGGATCCTGGCTCCGCACGGGGACTCCCAACGGGTCAGGTCAGCCCCAGGTCGGGTTCGGAGCTAGGTGCAGGTCTCACCTTGACGCAGTCAACGGGGTACATCACGCAATGCTCCAGGATCCCCGCCACGGCGCCCGCCACCATGTGCGTGGTGACAGTGGTTCCGGCCGGCAGCGCCTCGTAGTCCGGACCCGCGTCCGGATCCTGACGTACCGGGGGCCTGCAGGCCCCGGCCTCCCCGCCGCCGCCGGCCCCCCGGCCCACGCCCCGCTGCAGCCACCCGTCCAGCAGCGTCGATTCCCCGGGACTCCGCCCGGGCCCAGAGGCCGGCCCCCCCGCCACTCTGCCAGCGCCCCGCCCCTCCAACTCCATCCAACCGGGCCAGCTGCGGCGCCCACCCCCGCCACCGCCGCCGCCACCGCCGCCGCCGCCGCCCCCGGGCCCCGTCGTGTCCGCCTCAGGCACGGCCCGGAGAGCCCGGGGCCTCCGGCTCCCGCTTGGCCCTCACGGACACGCCCCCCGGCCAACCATTGGCGCGGATGCTACGCTAGCTCCACCCCTTACCTTGCGTTGGGAAAACAGGTCTGTGTGATTAGCGGAGCTGCCTGTCACTCAGCCTCCCGGAGGCGTTGCTAGCTGCCAGAGCCCACCCTTTCCCCTTTGATCTTGGAAGCTTCTTGTTTATTGGTCAGTGATTGGCAGACAGGTAAGATCAACCCGCCTCCGACTTTTCAGAGAGGGCGGGAAAAACTTAAGGCTGAACTTTGATAGGTTCAACCACTCTTGATACTTTGGCCGCGGCCATTGGCCGTCGCCACGCCGGCCTCCGATTGGCTGCCGAGAGCGAGCGAGGCAGCCGAGCGCCCCGGGGACTCTGAGGGGCCCGACGCGGAGCTCCTGACCGGCGCCCGGGCAGCTGCGGGCGCTGCGGGTCCAGCGGGCGGCCGAGTCGCACAGGGGGCGGGGCGGTGTCCATGTCTTCAAGGTCAAACCGCCGGCGGATGCCGTTACTGCCCGCGCGCCCTGAGTTCCCCGACACTGTTCGCGCGGGATCTGGTGGCGCGCGGGAGGCGGAGCCGGCCGGCCCGGGCATCCCCTGGCACCGACTGAGTGTCCATCTGGGAAGCGGTTGCGACACGTTGGCCAGGGCCGCCCGGGCTGGCAGCCCCCGTTAGACACCGGTCGGATCTGGAAGGGCTAACTCCCCGAGGACCGCGGGCTTCTGCGGCTCCGGGCGCTGGGTTGGGTCCCTGAGGTCGCTGAGTGAACCACGCGCATTCACTGAATGAATGAGCGGGTTTTCCGTGAGCCGGGCTGAGGCTGGGCGCTGGGCGCTGGGCCGAGAGTTGGAGGCGGGGAAGAAAGGCAGCTGTGGGGCGGCTGGGGCGCACTTTGGTGCGGAAACCTCAGCGCCTTGTCCCTGAGATGACACAGAGCCCAGTCCGAGCGTGACGTTCGGCTGGCCCGAGAATGAAGAGGGTCGCTTGCTGGCTGTCAAGCCGGGCCAGGCTGAGGCGTGGCAGGGCTTCAGAGTGAGTTTGTGCACGCCTGCCTGCTCGCTGCAGCGCAATCTTGGCCGCCCAGCTGACTTATTGATGCAGTTGTGAGCTCTCATCCGTTAACAGGGCTTCCTGAAATAGGGAAGAGGTTTTTCTTCTCTCAGAAGCTTTGCGTTTCCCTGGGCTACTATTGTTTTGTTTTAACTTTTAGATTGGTAACTCCCTCCCTCCCCCCTTTTAAAAAATTCACCTATTCTCCTTAGCAGTAGTTAATAACCTTTGGGTCACGACCTTTTGGTAATTAATGAAACTACACCTCACACCCTGTATGACACGCATGAAATTTTGCATGTAACTTCTGAGCTTCCGTGGTGACTTGTGCAGTCCCATTTAGCACGTTGTGTCTTCCTTCTGCTGCTCATCTCTGAGAAACCGGCTCAGTCCTGTTGGAGTGCTAATTCTCTTTCCTGCCAGTTGTCTCCAGTAATTACTTTATGCCTTCTCCCCTTAAGCTTTTTTATTCCCCTTCCCATTGACATTCTTTTCTTGAATCTGATGACTTTTCATCTGTGTTGTAATGGCTTCCAGAAACATCCCTGGGTCTCTAGGCTCCCATACCTTCCCTGGGGTCTTGTCTGTCCTCCTTCCAGGTTCATTGTGGGATTCTGCTTCCCATGTTGTAGAAGATGGTCTAGCCATGGGATTTGCTTGGGCCAGTGCAGTATGCAGGAGGTGCAGGAGCTGTGCGTTCCCTTCCCTTGCCGCATGACTACTGATGTTCACATGGGGCTCCATCAGCTTGGCCCAGTGAGGGGGATGCGAAGGAGAAACCCCTACTTGCTATCTCCCTGTTCCTGGGTGAACTTGAGGTATGAGGAAGTAAGTCTTTGCTTTTCTTTTTAAAAGATATTTATTTTTATTGGAAAATCAGATATGCAGAGAGGAGGAGAGACAAGAGAGGAAGATCTGTCCATTGATTAACTCCCCAAGTGACCACAACAGTCAGAGCTCTGCCGATCTGAAGCCAAGAGCCCGGAGCCCCTGCTGGGTTTCTCAGGTGAGTGCAAGGTCCCAAGGCTTTGGAAGTCCTCAGCTGCTTTCCCAGGCCACAAGCCCAGTGCATGCAAGGCAAGAACTTCAGCCACTAGGCTACTGTGCCGGTCCCATATCTTTGCTTCTTTAAGATGCAGAAGTTTTGGGACTGTTTCTTATGATAGTGTGATCCAGCCCAGTGCTTCCAAGACTACAGTGTGATATTGTCACCTGAAGAATTGGTAAAGAGGCAGATAATAATTCTGAAAGTCTCAGCAGAGGCTTGTGAGTCTGCATTTCTGATAAGTTCCCATGTGCTGCAGATACTGTATTTTGTGTGTGTGTGTGTATACACATGCATGTATCTATGTATGAAAGGCAGAGTTATGGAGAAGGAAGGAAACCCAGAGAGAGATCTTTCATCCATTGGTTCACTCCCCAGTGGTCACAATGGCCAGAGCTGGGTCGATCCAAAGCCAGAAGCCAGCTGCTTCTTCCCAGTCTCCCGCACAGATGCAGGGACCCAAGGCCTGGGACCATCCTCTGTTGCTTTCCCAGGCCTTTAATAGGGAGCTGGATTGGAAGTGACACAGCCAGGATTTGACCTGGCATCCATATGATATGCTGGCACCACAGGCAGAGGACTAGCTTGCCATTCCATAGTACCAGTTCTAGACCATATATATATGTGTGTGTGTTACATATATATGTGTAATATATTTGATATATTTACTTATTTGAAATGGTTAGAGAGAGATCATTCATCCACTGACTCGTTCCCCAGACTGAGCCAGGCTAAAACTAAGTGCCAGGAGCTTTGTCCAGGTCTCCCACATGGACACAGGGGCCCACACATTTGAACCATCTTCTACTCTCAAGCCATTAGCCAGAGGTGAATGAGAAGCGGAGCAGCTAGGACTTAAACCCATGCCCATATGGGATTCTGGCATTACAGGGTCAGATTTGTCTGCTCTGCTTTGCCAGTGCCACAATACCTTGCCGGCTGCCTGAACCATATTTTGTATAACAAGAACCAATCCATCTTGACAAGCTGATGAACTCCCCTCGTCACACCTACACACACACCTAGGCGCATTATCCTGTATCGAAGTGGCACCAAGCCTTCCTAAACAATAACAGTAAACACACCAGCAGCCTTTTGTTGTTACTCTTTAGAAATTCAGTGGTTTCCTCTACCTGCACTCTCCAGTCAAGGACTGTTTGACTCTCCGATCTTCCCGGGACAATTGCCTTCCACATCCTCCTGTTTCTTGGTGTTTCCTCCATCTACCTGTAACACTGCTAGTTGCCTCAATTATCACGTCTGTTTTAGTGCTAGAAACCCCAGGTGTTAGTCGGGCACGTGGCTTCGCAGGTAGAACCCATGTTTCTTCCACCTTCCTTGCAGTTAGCATTGGCTGTGTCACTAAGGTCTATGTAATAGGAGATGAATGAAGATGGTGCATGAACTAGCCTGAGTTTTACCTTTAAAAGAAAAGGGTATATCTTTCTCTTGCTTATTTTTTCCTTCCTCATCAACGTATAATAGATTCAAACAATGTTAGCCATTTTTAGCCACAAGGTCAGATCTGTACCATAGTAGGTAGCAGGAGAAGAAACCTGTGTCCTTAATAACACGGAGCTGCCTCTTCCCTCTAGCTACTGTGTTCAGGCCTGAGAGAACTTGTTTAAGCAATTGCTGTTCATCTGGATATTGGTAACAGCAGCTGAATTTAGATTCCAAGCAACATTTACTCTTCCTGGATTATTTTTTCATTTGCTCTTTTTAAAATTCTCATTTTTAAAAAATACTTATTTTTCTTTGAAAGGCAGTTACAGAGCGAAGCAGAGAGAGAGAGAAAGAGAGATTTTTCATCCACTGGTTCACTCCTCAAGTGACTGCAACAGATAACACTGATCCGATCTGAAGCCAGGAGCCTAGAGCCTCCTCTGGGTTTCCCACATGGGTGTAGGGACCCAAGGACTCAGGTCACACTCTGTTGATTTCTCAGTCCACAAGCAGGAGTTAGATTGGATATGGAGCAACTAGCACACAAACTGGTACCGATATGGCACACTGGCACTAATTTAGCCCAGTACGCAGCAACAACTGCCTTAAAACTCATTCTTGAAGGTCCAAAATGGACCCTGCCTTTGCTTCTGGCTTATAGTAGCCTGTTTTCCTGAACTGCCATCAAAGGTGACATGCGGATTGAGTGTAATATCAAATAAGATTGAGGGGTAGGTTTTCGGTATAGTGGTTGTAGCTTGGGATGCCCTCATCTCGTATTGGAGTGCCCAGTTTCATCCTGGCTACCCTATTTCTTTTATTTGTTCATTTTAACCATTAATTTTTTGAGTGATCCTTACAGAGGTGAGGGGATGTGGATTGCAGACCTGTGTGGGCCTCTGGTAGGGGTAGTGATGGAGGAGAGGAGAGAAATATGTCTGTGGGGGGGCGGGGATATGGCTGCCCTGTTTCTGATCCAGCTTTCTCTTAATGTGCACTGGAGGAGGCAGTAGATGATGTCTCAGGTACTTGTATTCCTGACGCTTGTGTGGAAGACCCAGGCTGAATCCTGGGTCTTTGGCGTGGCTGAGTCCTGGTTGTT